GACCATAGGGACCCTATGGGTCACCCCACTGAAGCCTATGGAGATGCCACCAGCCCCATAGCACCCAATGGGGTGCCCCAAGGGGGTGATGGGGACATGGGGGGCACCCACAGGGATGTCGTTATGGGGGTCACTGACCCATATGGGGTCACCATGGACCCTAAGGACGCTATGGGTCACCCCATTGAAGCCTATGGAGATGCCACCAGCCCCATAGCACCCAATGGGGCACCCCAAGGGGGTGATGGGGCCATGGGGAGCACCCATAGCGGTGTCGTTATGGGGGTCACTGACCCACAAGTGGTCACCATGGACCCCAAGGACGCTATGGGTCACCCCATTGAAGCCTATGGGGAGGCCACCAGCCCCATAGCACCCAATGGGGCGCCCCAAGGGGGTGATGGGGCCATGGGGAGCACCCATAGGGGTGCTCTTATGGGGGTCACTGACCCATATGGGGTCACCATGGACCCCAAGGACGCTATGGGTCACCCCATTGAAGCCTATGGGGAGGCCACCAGCCCCATAGCACCCAATGGGGCACCCCAAGGGGGTGATGGGGCCATGGGGTGCACCCATAGGGATGTCGTTATGGGGGTCACTGACCCACAAGTGGTCACCATGGACCCCAAGGACCCTATGGGTCACCCCATTGAAGCCTATGGGGAGGCCACCAGCCCCATAGCACCCAATGGGGCACCCCAAGGGGGTGATGGGGACATGGGGGGCACCCATAGGGACGTCATTATGGGGGTCACTGACCCATATGGGGTCACCATGGACCCTAAGGACGCTATGGGTCACCCCATTGAAGCCTATGGAGATGCCACCAGCCCCATAGCACCCAATGGGGGCACCCCAAGGGGGTGATGGGGACATGGGGGGCACCCATAGGGATGTCGTTATGGGGGTCACTGACCCATATGGGGTCACCATGGACCCCAAGAACGCTATGGGTCACCCCATTGAAGCCTATGGGGAGGCCACCAGCCCCATAGCACCCAATGGGACCCCCAAAGGGGGTGATGGGGACATGGGGGGCACCCATAGGGACGTCATTATGGGGGTCACTGACCCATATGTGGTCACCCAAGGCCATAGGGACCCTATGGGTCACCCCACTGAAGCCTATGGAGATGCCACCAGCCCCATAGCACCCAATGGGGCAGCCGAAGGGGGTGATGGAACCATGGGGGGCACCCATAGGGACGTCATTATGGGGGTCACTGACCCATATGGGGTCACCATGGACCCCAAGGACCCTATGGGTGCCCCCATTGAAGCCTATGGGGAGGCCACCAGCCCCATAGCACCCAATGGGGCACCTCAAGGGGGTGATGGGGGCATGGGGGGCACCCATAGGGACGTCATTATGGGGGTCACTGACCCATATGGGATCACCATGGACCCTAAGGACGCTATGGGTCACCCCATTGAAGCCTATGGAGATGCCACCAGCCCCATAGCACCCAATGGGGCACCCCAAGGGGGGGATGGGGACATGGGGTGCACCCATAGGGATGTTGTTATGGGGGTCACTGACCCACAAGTGGTCACCATGGACCCCAAGGACGCTATGGGTCACCCCATTGAAGCCTATGGGGAGGCCACCAGCCCCATAGCACCCAATGGGGCAGCCGAAGGGGGTGATGGAGCCATGGGGGGCACCCATAGGGATGTCGTTATGGGGGTCACTGACCCACAAGTGGTCACCATGGACCCTAAGGACGCTATGGGTCACCCCATTGAAGCCTATGGAGATGCCACCAGCCCCATAGCACCCAATGGGGCGCCCCAAGGGGGTGATGGAACCATGGGGGGCACCCATAGGGATGTCGTTATGGGGGTCACTGACCCATATGTAGTCACCCAAGACCATAGGGACCCTATGGGTGCCCCCATTGAAGCCTATGGAGATGCCACCAGCCCCATAGCACCCAATGGGGCACCCCAAGGGGGTGATGGGGCCATGGGGAGCACCCATAGCGGTGTCGTTATGGGGGTCACTGACCCATATGGGGTCACCATGGACCCCAAGGACGCTATGGGTCACCCCATTGAAGCCTATGGAGATGCCACCAGCCCCATAGCACCCAATGGGGCACCCCAAGGGGGTGATGGGGCCATGGGGTGCACCCATAGGGATGTCGTTATGGGGGTCACTGACCCATATGTGGTCACCCAAGACCATAGGGACCCTATGGGTCACCCCACTGAAGCCTATGGAGATGCCACCAGCCCCATAGCACCCAATGGGGCACCCCAAGGGGGTGATGGGGCCATGGGGAGCACCCACAGCGGTGTCGTTATGGGGGTCACTGACCCACAAGTGGTCACCATGGACTCCAAGGACGCTATGGGTCACCCCATTGCAGCCTATGGGGAGGCCACCAGCCCCATAGCTCCCAATGGGGCACTCCAAGGGGGTGATGGGCCCATGGGGTGCACCCATAGGGAGGTCGTTATGGGGGTCACTGACCCACAAGTGGTCACCATGGACCCCAAGAACGCTATGGGTCACCCCATTGAAGCCTATGGGGAGGCCACCAGCCCCATAGCACCCAATGGGGCAGCCGAAGGGGGTGATGGAGCCATGGGGGGCACCCATAGGGACGTCATTATGGGGGTCACTGACCCATATGTGGTCACCCAAGGCCATAGGGACCCTATGGGTCACCCCACTGAAGCCTATGGAGAGGCCACCAGCCCCATAGCACCCAATGGGGCACCCCAAGGGGGTGATGGGGACATGGGGAGCACCCATAGCGGTGTCGTTATGGGGGTCACTGACCCACAAGTGGTCACCATAGACCCCAAGGACCCTATGGGTCACCCCATTGAAGCCTATGGGGAGGCCACCAGCCCCATAGCACCCAATGGGGCGCCCCAAGGGGGTGATGGAACCATGGGGGGCACCCATAGGGATGTCGTTATGGGGGTCACCGACACATATGGGGTCACCATGGACCCTAAGGACGCTATGGGGCACCCCATTGAAGCCTATGGGGAGGCCACCAGCCCCATAGCACCCAATGGGGCACCCCAAGGGGGTGATGGGCCCATGGGGTGCACCCATAAGGATGTTGTTATGGGGGTCACTGACCCACAAGTGGTCACCATGGACCCTAAGGACGCTATGGGTCACCCCATTGAAGCCTATGGGGAGGCCACCAGCCCCATAGCACCCAATGGGGCACCCCAAGGGGGTGATGGGGCCATGGGGGGCACCCATAGGGACGTCGTTATGGGGGTCACCGACACATATGGGGTCACCATGGGCCCCAAGGTCACTGTGGGTCCCCCCATTGAAGCCAATGGAGATGCCACCACCGCGGTGGGCCCCACCGCCGAGCCCCGCCGCCCGGATGACGTCACGGCTCCGCCAGCCAATGGCGGCGTCCTGAGGGGCGAGGCCCCGCCCCCTCTCTGCCCCGCCCCTCCCCCCCCCGCCCCCAACGCGTTTCCGGTCACCGTGGGGCCACGTGGGGCCGCCCCTCCCCCCCTGGGGCCCCTCCCCCTCCTGCTATTGCCCCTCCCCCTCCTGCTCCGCTGACGTCACCGCGCCCCCCCCTCCCCCCCCCTTATTTATTGCGGCCTCCCATTGGTCCCCTCCCCTCCCCCCCACACTATGTATGTTCTTAGCATGTTCTTAGCATGTTCTTAGCGTGTTCCAGGCCTGGTGGGCCCCACAATAAAGCTCAACGTGATTGGTTGCCTCCATGTGGGTAATGGGGGGGGGTGGGGGGGAAAGGGGAATTGAGGAGGAGGCCCCACCAAAGAGGGCAGGAAATGGGGACGTAGCCCCTTTAAGAGGCAGCGCTGAAAGGAGCAATGGCTTTAAAGGGGCAATGGGCTTAAAGGGGTAATGGCTTTAAAGGGGCAATGGGCTTAAAGGGGTAATGGCTTAAAGGGGCAATAGGCGCCAAGGGGCAACGGCTTTAAAGGGGCAATGGGCTTAAAGGGGCAATTGCGTTAAAGGGGCAATGGGCTTAAAGGGGCAACGGACTTAAAGGGGCAATGGCTTTAAAGGGGCAATGGGCTTAAAGGGGCAACGGGCTTAAAGGGGCAATGGGCTTAAAGGGGTAATGGCTTAAAGGGGCAATAGGCGCCAAGGGGCAACGGGCTTAAAGGGGCAATAGCCTTATGGGGCTATGGGTTTAAAGGAGCAATGGCTTTAAAGGGGCAATGGCTTAAAGGGGCAATGGGCTTAAAAGGGCAATGGCTTAAAGGGGCAATGGGCTTAAAGGCGCAATGGCTTTAAAGGGGCAACGCGCTTAAAGGGGCAATAGCCTTATGGGGCTATGTCTTAAACGGGCAATGGCTTTAAAGGGGAATAGCCTTAAAGGGGCAATGGGCTTTAATGGGCAATGGCTTAAAGGGGAAATAGCCTTAAATGGGCAATAGCCTTTTGGGGCTATGGTTTCAAGTGGCAATGGTCTTAAAGGGGCAATGGCCTTAAAAGGGGCTATAGCCTTAAAGGGGCAATGGTCTTAAAGGAGTAATGGGCTTAAATGGGCAACAGGATTAAAGGGGCAATAGCCTTAAAGGGGCAATGGCTTAAAGGGGCAACAGCCTTACGGGGCTATGTCTTAAAAGGGCAATGTCTTAAAAGGGCAATGGTCTTCAAGGGGCAATGGCTTATGGGGCTACGGCTTCAAGTGGCACTGGTCTTAAAGGGGCAATGACTAAAAGGGGAAATAGCCTTAAAGGGGCCATGGGCTTAAAGGGACAGTAGCCTTAAAGGGGCAATGTCTTGAAGAGGCAATAGCCTTAAAGGGGCAATGACCTTAAAGGGGCAATGACCTTAAAGGGGCAACGTCTTAAAGGGGCAACGGCTTCAGTGTGATGACCCCCCCAGCCCTTAAAGCAGCAACAACCCTCTTTGTGTGGTCCCAACCTCCCTCTCCTTCACACAAACGAAATTACCCAAAATCGCTTTAATTCACCTCAAAAACAAAGTGTGTGTGGGGGGGACGACACGGGGGGGATGGGCAGCGCGATGACGTCACAGTGACGTCACGTCCGCCGGCACGACGGCGAAGGGCTGGGCCGGGAGGGGGCGGAGCTGTTCCCCGCAGCGCAGCAGCCAATGGGGGCGCACGATGGTCAGCGAGGGGCGGAGCTCCAGCGCCTGCGTTAAAGGGGCGGGGCTTAGGAGGGGATGGGTCAGGCCACACCCCCTTTTAAGCCACACCCCCACCTGGTCGAAGGCCTTGTCCCAGCCCTGCGCTGTCACCACGTGGGTCACGGCATCGGTCATGGAGGGGGCCAGGGTCCTGCACCAGTATGGACCAGTATGGACACCAGTATAACCCCATTATAACCCCATTATAACCCCATTATAACCCCATTATCCCCCATTATAACCCCATTATCCCCCATTATAACCCCATTATAACCCCATTATCCCCCATTATAACCCATTATAACCCCATTATAACCCCATTATCCCCCATTATAACCCCATTATAACCCCATTATCCCCCATTATAACCCCATTATCCCCCATTATCCCCCATTATAACCCCATTATAACCCCATTATAACCCCATTACACCCCATTATCCCCCATTATAACCCCATTATAACCCCATTATCCCCCATTATAACCCCATTATAACCCCATAATAACCCCATTATCCCCCATTATAACCCCATTATCCCCCATTATAACCCCATTATCCCCCATTATAACCCCATTATAACCCCATTATCCCCCATTATAACCCCATTATCCCCCATTATAACCCCATTATAACCCCATTATCCCCCATTATAACCCCATTATAACCCCATTATCCCCCATTATAACCCCATTATAACCCCATTATCCCCCATTATAACCCCATTATAACCCCATTATAACCCCATTATCCCCCATTATAACCCCATTATAACCCCATTATAACCCCATTATCCCCCATTATAACCCCATTATCCCCCATTATAACCCCATTATAACCCCATTATCCCCCATTATAACCCCATTATAACCCCATTATAACCCCATTATCCCCCATTATAACCCCATTATAACCCCATTATCCCCCATTATAACCCCATTATCCCCCATTATAACCCCATTATAACCCCATTATAACCCCATTATCCCCCATTATAACCCCATTATCCCCCATTATAACCCCATTATCCCCCATTATAACCCCATTATCCCCCATTATAACCCCATTATCCCCCATTATAACCCCATTATCCCCCATTATAACCCCATTATAACCCCATTATCCCCCATTATAACCCCATTATCCCCCATTATAACCCCATTATCCCCCATTATAACCCCATTATCCCCCATTATAACCCCATTATCCCCCATTATAACCCCATTATAACCCCATTATCCCCCATTATAACCCCATTACACCCCAGTACAAACCAGTCCGGACCAGTGGGCCCCACTCACCCCCCAAAGGCGATCACGAGGCGCCGCAGCCATCGCCCCTCCCCCTCCGGGAAGCTGCCAGCCAATAGGAACGAGAGGCCCCGGAAGAAGTCTGCAAAGGGGGCGGGGCCACGAGGGGGGGTCACGTGGGGTCATGGGGGGGGTGTAATGGGGTTATAATGGGGGATAATGGGGTTATAATGGGGTTATAATGGGGGATAATGGGGTTATAATGGGGGATAATGGGGTTATAATGGGGTTATAATGGGGGATAATGGGGTTATAACGGGGGATAATGGGGTTATAATGGGGTTATAATGGGGTTATAATGGGGTTATAATGGGGTTATAATGGGGTTATAATGGGGGATAATGGGGTTATAATGGGGTTATAATGGGGTTATAATGGGGGATAATGGGGTTATAATGGGGTTATAATGGGGGATAATGGGGTTATAATGGGGTTATAATGGGGGATAATGGGGTTATAATGGGTTATAATGGGGTTATAATGGGGTTATAATGGGGTTATAATGGGGGATAATGGGGTTATAATGGGTTATAATGGGGTTATAATGGGGGATAATGGGGTTATAACGGGGGATAATGGGGTTATAATGGGGTTATAATGGGGGATAATGGGGTTATAATGGGGTTATAATGGGGGATAATGGGGTTATAATGGGGGATAATGGGGTTATAATGGGGTTATAATGGGGGATAATGGGGTTATAATGGGGTTATAATGGGGTTATAATGGGGGATAATGGGGTTATAATGGGTTATAATGGGGTTATAATGGGGTTATAATGGGGTTATAATGGGGGATAATGGGGTTATAATGGGTTATAATGGGGTTATAATGGGGTTATAATGGGGATAATGGGGTTATAATGGGGGATAATGGGGTTATAATGGGGTTATAATGGGGGATAATGGGGGATAATGGGGTTATAATGGGGTTATAATGGGGGATAATGGGGTTATAATGGGGGATAATGGGGTTATAATGGGGGATAATGGGGTTATAATGGGGGATAATGGGGTTATAATGGGTTATAATGGGGGAAAATGGGGTTATAATGGGGTTATAATGGGGGATAATGGGGTTATAATGGGGGATAATGGGGGATAATGGGGTTATAATGGGGTTATAATGGGGTTATAATGGGGTTATAATGGGGGATAATGGGGTTATAATGGGGTTATAATGGGGGATAATGGGGTTATAATGGGGTTATAATGTGGTTATAATGGGGTTATAATGGGGTTATAATGGGGGATAATGGGGGATAATGGGGTTATAATGGGTTATAATGGGGTTATAATGGGGGATAATGGGGTTATAATGGGGGATAATGGGGGATAATGGGGTTATAATGGGGTTATAATGGGGTTATAATGGGGGATAATGGGGTTATAATGGGGTTATAATGGGTTATTATGGGTTACAATGGGTTATTATAGGTTACAATGGTGTTATTATGGGTTACAATGGGGTTACAATGGGGTTCCAATGGGTTACTATGGGTTACAATGGGGTTACAATGGGTTATTATGGGTTACAATGGTGTTATTATGGGTTACAATGGGGTTATAATGGGTTATTATGGGTTCCAATGGGTTATTATGGGTTACAATGGGATTCCAATAGGTTATTATGGGTTATTATGGGTTACAATGGGTTATTATGGGTTATTATGGGTTCCAATGGGTTATTATGGGTTACAATGGGGTTCCAATGGGGTTATAATGGGTTATTATGGGTTACAATGGGTTATTATGGGTTACAATGGGATTCCAATGGGTTATTATGGGTTATTATGGGTTACAATGGGTTATTATGGGTTACAATGGGATTCCAATGGGTTATTATGGGTTATTATGGGTTACAATGGGTTATTATGGGTTACAATGGGGTTCCAATGGGGTTACAATGGGTTATTATGGGTTACAATGGGGGGTACCCCCAGACCCACCGGGCAAGGGGGGAATGGGCTCTTCCTCCTCCTCCTCTTCCTCGCTGTTCTCCTCCGTGGAGCCCCCATAGGGATCATCCCTATGGGGTGGGATGGGTCAGTGGGGTGTGGGGGGGAAGGAATAAAGGGGGGGGGGCACCCCCCAACACTCACGGCTCTGATTGGTCGCTGTCATCCCCCGAATCAGGTCCTGCAAGGGGATTGGATGGGATCGATGCGGGGGTGCGGCCCCTTTAAGAATGGGGGGGGGGTTTTTGGAGGAGGGAGGGGGCGTGACTTACCACTGGTCACGTGAGGGGTGGGGTCCGCAGGGGGCGTGGCCTCATTAGGCTCCTCCTCTTCGCTGCCGGAGGAGGCGGAGCCATCCAAGAGGTACCTTGGGGGGGGGTGGGGAGGGAATGAGGCCACGCCCACAAGGGGGCGGAGCTTAGGACTGCCCCCCCTACGGGGTGGCCAATCAGCAGGCTCTAACCGCGAGGGGGCGGGGCTTCTGCAGCCCATTCAGGTCCTATAGGGCTGAGGGGAGGGGTTAGAGGCAGGGAGCGTGGCTTAATCAATAAGGGGCGTGGCTTTGTGCTCCAGGGGGCGTGGCTTCCACAGCCCATTCAGGTCCTATAGGGCTGGGTGCAGGGCTTAGAGATGCGGGGGCGTGGCTTAGCCAATGGGGGCGTGGCTTAACTAATAAGGGGCGTGGCTTAATGCACAGGGGGCGGGGCTTGATGTCCCAAGGGGAGGGGCTTCCGCAGCCCATTCAGGTCCTATAGGGCTGGGTGCAGGGCTTAAAGACAGGGGGCGGGCTTCAACCAAGAGGGGGCGTGGTTTAGCCATTAGGGGGCGTGTCTTAGGGCCCAAGGGGGCGGGGCTTGTGCTTACGGGCGGCAGGGCAGGCGTCGGCCCCGCCTCCGGCAGTCCCAGATCCAATCAGGGCTCACGAGGAGCCCCCCCATAGCGCGGGCCCGGGCGGCTTTGGGGGTGCGGGAGAAGGCGGAGCTAAAAAAGGGGGCGGGGAGAGAGGATGAGAAAGGGGCGGGGCTTGAAGAGGGGAAGGGGGAGGGGTTATGGGGAGGGAGGGGTGGGGGTAAGAGGAGGGGGAAGGGGGTAAAGGCTTAGGGGCGTGGCTACGGGGAAGGGGCGGTGCTAAGGGAAGGGGGCGTGGTTAAAGGCTTAGGGGTGTGGCTGTGGGGAAGGGGCGGGGCTAAGAGAAGGGGCGTGGTTACAGGGAAAGGGGTGGAGTCGGGAGGGGAAAGGGGCGGGGCTAAAGAATGGAAGGGGCGGGGTTAAGAGAAGGGGCGTGGCTACAGGGAAAGGGGTGGAGTCGGGAGGGGAAAGGGGCGGGGCTAAGAAAAGAGGCGGGGCTAAAGGCTTGGGGGCGTGGCTACGGGGAAAGGGGCGGGGCTAAGAGAAGGGGCGTGGCTACGGGGGGAAAGGGGTGGAGCTACGGGAAGGGGGTGGGGCCAGGAAGGGAAAGGGGTGGAGCTAAGGGAAGGGGGCGGGGCTAAAGGGCGGGGGGGAAGGGGGCGGGGCTTACACGAGGTGGGTGCAGCGCGGCGTCCAATCAGGGCTGTACTCGGCTCCCATGGCGACGGCGGCGGCGCGCAATTGGCCGCGGAGGGGGTTCTCGAAGCCACTCAGGGCCACGACGACGCCGGCCAAGATGGCGGCCGGAGGGGGCGTGGCCTCGGCGGGAGGGGGCGTGGCTTTGGCCTCGACGGGGCGGGGCTGCTTCGGCGGCGTCCCATTGGTGGAGGAGGGGGGCGGTGGGGAGGGGGGGCGCTTGGGGGGCTGGAATGGAAATGGGGGGGGTGTGAAGGGGGCGGGGTTTAAGGGGAGGGGCGGGGCTTAAGGGGGAGGGGGCGGGGCTTACCCGGGGTTTGGGGGCGGAGCCAGCGCTGGCTTTGAGGGCGGCATCGGCGTAAGTGGGGCCTGGGGGAGGGGCCTTGGGGGGTGCTGGGGGGGGGGCGGGGCTTAGTGAGGCCACGCCCCCTCTCGTTGAGGCCACGCCCACAAAGGGGAGGGGGGGAGGGGCTCTTACCTGTGGGGGAGGGGGGGCGCTTGTAGAAGAGGGCCCCAAGGGGGCGGAGGGGGGAGGGCCCCCCCTCCCGGAGGGTGAAGGGGCCCAAGCGGCGAACCTGGGGGGGGGGAAAGGGGGGAGTTATGGGGCAGCTATGGGGCAGCTATGGGGCAGGTAGGGGGTAGCTATGGGGCAGGTAGGGGGCAGTTATGGGGCAGCTATGGGGCAGCTATGGGGCAGGTAGGGGGTAATTATGGGGCAGCTATGGGGCAGTTATGGGGCAGCTATGGGGCAGCTATGGGGCAGCTATGGGGTAGCTATGGGGCAGCTATGGGGGACTTATGGGGCAGATAAGGGGTAATTATGGGGCAGATAAGGGGTAATTATGGGGCAGCTATGGGGCAGTTATGGGGTAGCTATGGGGTAATTATGGGGCAGCTATGGGGCAGCTATGGGGCAGGTAGGGGGTAATTATGGGGCAGCTATGGGGCAGCTATGGGGCAGCTATGGGGCAGCTATGGGGCAGCTATGGGGTAGCTATGGGGCAGCTATGGGGGACTTATGGGGCAGATAAGGGGTAATTATGGGGCAGCTATGGGGCAGTTATGGGGTAGCTATGGGGTAATTATGGGGCAGGTATGGGGCAGCTATGGGGCAGGTAGGGGGTAATTATGGGGCAGCTATGGGGCAGTTATGGGGCAGCTATGGGGCAGCTATGGGGTAATTATGGGGCAGCTATGGGGCAGTTATGGGGCAGCTATGGGGCAGCTATGGGGCAGGTAGGGGGTAATTATGGGGCAGCTATGGGGCAGTTATGGGGCAGCTATGGGGTAATTATGGGGCAGCTATGGGGCAGTTATGGGGTAGCTATGGGGCATTTATAGGGCAGTTATGGGGCATTTATAGAGCAGTTATGGGGCATTTATAGGGCAGCTATATGGGTGTCTATGGGGCTCTGTGGGTCGCTATGGGTCTCCATTGGGTGTTTATGGGTCTCTATGGGTTGCTATGGGGTCCCTAAGGGTGTTTATGCAGTATCTATGGGTCCCTATGGGGTGTTTATGGGTCCCTATGGGTCTCTATGGGGCAGCTGGGGGTCAGTCACCGGGGCCTCAGCAGGAGCTGCATCCTCCGGGGGGCCGAAGAGACGAACATAGGAGAGACCAAAGGGACGGTCCTGGGGGGGACAGAGACCCCTATAGACCCCATAGCCCCTATAGACCCCATACCCCTATAGACCCCATACCCCTATAGCCACCACAGCCCCTACAGACCCTATAGCCCCCATAGCCCCTATAGACCCTATAACCCCTATAGCCCCTATAGACCCCATAGCCCCTATAGACCCCATAGCCCCCATAGCCCCTATAGACCCCATATCCCCTATAGGCCCCATAGCCCCCATAGGCTCACCTGGCTATAGGGCTGGCTGCAGACCCCTATAGGCCCCATAGCCCCTATGGGCCCCATAGCCCCTATAGGCCCCATAGCCCCTATAGGCTCCCCTGGCTATAGGGCTGGCTGCAGACCCCTATAGGCCCCATAGCCCCTATAGACCCCATAGCCCCTATAGGCCCCATAGCCCCTACAGACCCTATAGGCCCCATAGCCCCTATGGGCCCCATAGCCCCTATAGGCTCACCTGGCTATAGGGCTGGCTGCAGACCCCTATAGGCCCCATAGCCCCTATAGACCCCATAGCCCCTATGGCCCCCATAGCCCCCATAGGCTCACCTGGCTATAGGGCTGGGTGCAGACGAGGCGCAGGCGGTCCCAGCCCCCCCCCAGGGCGCCCTTCACCAGGGCCTCGGGCCCGAAGCTCCGCCCCCTGCGAGGCTCCGCCCCCTCCCGGCTCTCGTGGGGGGTCATGAAGGCGGCCGTGGGCAGCAGCACCTATGGGGAGGGCACATATAGGGTGATATAGGGGTGATGTGGGGGTCTATGGGGGTCTATGGGGGGATATGGGGGTCTATAGGGGTGATATGGGGGTCTATAGGGGGGATATGGGGGTCTATGGGGGGGATATGGGGGTCTATAGGGGTGATATGGGGGTCTATAGGGGGGATATGGGGGTCTATAGGGGGGATATGGGGGTCTATAGGGGTGATATGGGGGTCTATGGGGGTGATATGGGGGTCTATAGGGGGGATATGGGGGTCTATGGGGGGGATATGGGGGTCTATAGGGGTGATATGGGGGTCTATGGGGGTGATATGGGGGTCTATAGGGGGGATATGGGGGTGATATGGGGGTCTATGGGGGGGATATGGGGGTCTATAGGGGGGATATGGGGGTCTATGGGGGTGATATGGGGGTCTATAGGGGGGATATGGGGGTCTATGGGGGGGATATGGGGGTCTATAGGGGTGATATGGGGGTCTATGGGGGTGATATGGGGGTCTATAGGGGGGGTATGGGGGTCTATGGGGGTGATATGGGGGTCTATAGGGGTGATATGGGGGTCTATAGGGGGGATATGGGGGTCTATAGGGGGGATATGGGGGTCTATGGGGGTGATATGGGGGTCTATGGGGGGATATGGGGGTGATATGGGGTCTATGGGGGTCTATAGGGGTGATATGGGGGTCTATGGGGGTGGCGTGGGGTCTATAAGGGTGATATAGGGGTGATGTGGGGTCTATAGGGGTGATATGGGGGTCTATGGGGGCTATATGGGGGTCTATGGGGGTCTATAGGGGTTATATGGGGGGCTATGGGGGTGATATGGGGGTCTATGGGGGTGATATAGGGGTCTATAGGGGTAATATGGGGGTGATATGGGGGTCTATATGGGGGATATGGGGGTCTATAGGGGTGATATGGGGGTCTATGGGGGTGATATAGGGGTCTATAGGGGTAATATGGGGGTGATATGGGGGTCTATATGGGGGATATGGGGGTCTATATGGGGGATATGGGGGTCTATAGGGGTGATATGGCGGTCTACAGGGGGGATATGGGGGTCTATAGGGGGGATATGGGGGTCTATAGGGGGATTATGGGGGTCTACAGGGGGGATATGGGGGTCTATAGGGGTGATATGGGGGTCTATAGGGGTGATGTGGGGGTGTGTAGGGATTAGATGGGGGTCTACAGGGTGTCTATAGGGTGTCTATGGGGTGTCTATAGGGTATCCATGGAGTGTCTGTGGGTATCTATAGGGTACCTATAGGTGCATGCAGGGTATCTATATCAATGGGGTCTCTATGGGGTATCTATAATTCTCTATGGGGTATCTATGGGCCTCTATGGGTCTCTATAGGGTTTCTATGGGTCTCTATAGGGTATCTATACGTCTCTATGGGTCTCTATAGAGTATCTATAGGTCTCTATGGGTCTCTATAGAGTATCTATAGGTCTCTATGGGATCTCTGTGGGTTACCTATAGGTCTATATGGGATCACTATGGGTCTTTATAGGGTATCTATAGGTCTCAATGGGGTCTCGATGGGTTTCCATAGGGTATCTATAGGTCCCTATGGGGTCTCTATAGGTCCCTATGTGTCTCTATGGGATCTCTATGGGTCCCTATGGGGTCTCTATGGGTGTCTATGGGGTCTCTATGGGTCCCTATGTGTCCCTATGTGTCCCTATGGGTCCCTATGGGTCTCTATGGGCCCCTATGGGTCCCTATGTGTCTCTATGTGTCCCTATGTGTCCCTATGGGTCCCTATGGGTCTCTATGGGTCCCTATGCGTCCCTATGGGTCCCTATGTGTCCCTATGGGTCCCTATGGGTCCCTATGGGTCTCTATGGCTCCCTATGGGTCCCTATGGGTCCCTATGGGTCCCTATGTGTCCCTATGTGTCCCTATGGGTCCCTATGGGTCCCTATGTGTCCCTATGGGTCCCTATGGGTCCCTATGGGTCTCTATGGGTCTCTATGTGTCCCTATGTGTCCCTATGGGTCCCTATGGGTCTCTATGGGTCCCTATGTGTCCCTATGTGTCCCTATGAGTCCCTATGGGTCCCTATGTGTCCCTATGTGTCTCTATGGGTCCCTATGGGTCTCTATGGGTCCCTATGGGTCCCTATGTGTCCCTATGGCTCTCTATGTGTCCCTATGGGTCCCTATGGGTCTCTATGTGTCCCTATGGGTCCCTATGGGTCCCTATGGGTCTCTATGTGTCCCTATGGGTCTCTATGTGTCTCTATGTGTCCCTATGGGTCCCTATGGGTCCCTATGGGTCTCACCTGGAAGCTGCCCCCCTCCTGGGTGCCCACGAGCGCCTCGACGAAGGCGGAGCCGTTGTTGCCGATGAGCAGGCGCTGGAGGGGCTGCCCCATAGCGACCTAGAGAGGGGGAAAGCGGAGGTGGGGCTGCAGGGGGGATATGGGGGGTATAGGGGGGATATAGGGGGTATATGGGGGGGATATGGGGGGATATAGGGGGGATATGGGGGGATATAGGGGGGATATAGGGGGGATATAGGGGGTATGGGGGGATATAGGGGGGGTAGAGAGGGGGATATGGGGGGATATGGGGGGTATAGGGGGATATAGGGGGGATATAGGGGGGGATATAGGGGGTAGAGAGGGGGTAGAGAGGGGGATATAGGGGGACATAGGGGGTATAGAGGGGGATATGGGGGGGATATAGGGGGATATGGGGGGGGTATAGGGGGTAGAGGGGGGATATGGGGGGACATAGGGGGTATAGAGGGGGATATGGGGGGATATAGGGGGGGATATAGGGGGTAGAGAGGGGGATATAGGGGGATATAGGGGGGATATAGGGGGGATATAGGGGGGATATAGGGGGCATATAGGGGGTAGAGAGGGGGATATGGGGGGATATAGGGGGTATAGGGGGCTATAGGGGGTAGAGAGGGGGATATAGGGGGTATAGAGGGGGATATAGGGGGATATAGGGGGGATGGGGGGGATATAAGGGGTATAGGGGGTGGAGAGGGGGTCTAGAGGGGGATATAGGGGGTATAGGGGGGGATATAGGGGTCTATAGGGGGATATAGGGGGTATAGAGGGGGATATAGGGGGCTATAGGGGGTAGAGAGGGGGATATGGGGGGTATAGAGGGGGATATAGGGGGGGATATAGGGGGATATAGGGGGTATAGGGGATATAGGGGGGGATATGGGGGGATATAGGGGATATAGGGGGCATAGGGGGGGATATAGGGGGTAGAGAGGGGGATATAGGGGGTATAGGGGTGGAGAGGGGGTCTAGAGTGGGATATAGGGGGTATGGGGGATATAGGGGGTATAGAGGGGGATATAGGGGGTAGAGAGGGGGATATAGGGGGTATTGGGGGGGTATAGGGGGTATAGAGGGGGTCTAGAGGGGGATATAGGGGGTAGAGAGGGGGCTATAGGGGGATATAGAGGGGGTTATAGGGGGGGATATAGGGCTCTATAGGGGGATATAGGGGGTAGAGAGGGGGATATAGGGGTCTATAGGGCATATATAGGAGGTATATAACAGTATATAGGGGTCTATAGGGTGTACATAGGGGGCATATAACGGTATATAGGGGCCTATAGGGTGTATATAGGGGATACATAACAGTACATAGGGGTCTACAGGGCGTATATAGGGACCTATAGGGCATATATAGGGGATATATAACGGTATATAGGGATCTATAGGGCATATATAGGGGATATATAACGGTATATAGGGCGTATATAGGGGATATATAACGGTATATAGGGGTCTATAGGGCGTATATAGGAGATATATAACGGTATATAAGGGCCTATAGAGCGTATATAGGGAATATATAACGGTATATAGGGGTCTATAGGACATATATAGGGGATATATAACAGTATATAGAGACCTATAAGATATATATAGGGGGTATATAGGGGTCTATAGGGCGTATATAGGGTATATGTAACGGTATATAGAGGCCTTTAGGATGTATATAGGGGGTATATAGGGGTCAATAGGGCGCATATAGGGGATATATAACGGTATATGGGGTCTATAGGGCGTATATAGGGGAGATATTACGGTATAAAGGGATCTATAGGGCGTATATAACGGTATATAGGTGTCTATAGGACGTATATAGGGGATATATAACCGTATATAGGGGTCTATAGGGCGTATATGGGGATATATAACGGTATATAGGAGTCTATAGGGCGTATATAGGGGATATATAACGGTATATAGGGGTCTATAGGGCGTATATAGGGGACATATAACGGTATATAGGGGTCTGTAGAGCGTATATAGGGGATATATAACGGTATATAGGGGTCTGTAGGGCGTATATAGGGGATATATAACGGTATATAGGGGTCTATAGGGCGTATATAGGGGATATATAACGGTATATAGGGGTCTGTAGGGCGTATATAGGGGATATATAACGGTATATAGGGGTCTATAGGGCGTATATAGGGGTCTATAGGACGTATATAGGGGTCTATAGGGCGTATATAGGGGATATATAACGGTATATAGGGGCCTATAGAGCGTATATAGGGGTCTATAGGACGTATATAGGGGGTATATAACGGTATACAGGGCGTATATTGGGGACATATAACGGTATATAGGTGTCTATAGGACGTATATAGGGGTCTATAGAGCGTATATAGGGGATATATAACGGTATATAGGGGTCTATAGAGCGTATATAGGGGATATATAACAGTATATAGGGGTCTATAGGGCATATATAGGGGATATATAACGGTATATAGGGGTCTATAGAGCGTATATAGGGGATATATAACGGTATATAGGGTCTATAGGGCATATATAGGGGATATATAACGGTATATAGGGGTCTATAGAGCATATATAGGGGATATATAACGGTATATAGGGGTCTATAGAGCGTATATAGGGGATATATAACGGTATATAGGGGTCTATAGGGCATATATAGGGGATATATAACGGTATATAGGGGTCTATAGGGCGCATATGGGGATATGTAACGGTATATAGGAGTCTATAGGGCGTAATATAGGGGATATATAACGGTATATAGGGGTCTATAGGGCGTATATAGGGGGTACATAACAGTATATAGGGACCTATAGGACATATATAGGGGATGTATAACGGTATATAGGGGTCTGTAGGGCGTATATAGGGGACATATAACGGTATATAGGGGTCTATAGAGCGTATATAGGGATATATAACGGTATATAGGGGTCTATAGGGCATATATAGGGGATATATAACGGTATATAGGGGTCTATAGGGCGCATATGGGGATATGTAACGGTATATAGGAGTCTATAGGGCGTATATAGGGGATATATAACGGTATATAGGGGTCTATAGGGCGTATATAGGGGGTACATAACAGTATATAGGGACCTATAGGACATATATAGGGGACGTATAACGGTATATAGGGGTCTGTAGGGCGTATATAGGGGACATATAACGGTATATAGGGGTCTATAGAGCGTATATAGGGGATATATAACGGTATATAGGGGTCTATAGGGCGTATATAGGGGATATATAACGGTATATAGGGGCCTATAGAGCGTATACAGGGGTCTATAGGACGTATATAGGGGGTATATAACGGTATATAGGGCGTATATTGGGGACATATAACGGTATATAGGTGTCTATAGGACGTATATAGGGGTCTATAGAGCGTATATAGGGGATATATAACGGTATATAGGGGTCTATAGAGCGTATATAGGGGATAAATAACAGTATATAGGGTCTATAGAGCGTATATAGGGGATATATAACGGTATATAGGGGTCTATAGAGCGTATATGGGGATATATAACAGTATATAGGGGTCTATAGAGCGTATATAGGGGATATATAACGGTATATAGGGGTCTATAGGGCATATATAGGGGATATATAACGGTATATAGGGGTCTATAGGGCATATATAGGGGATATATAACGGTATATAGGGTCTATAGAGCGTATATAGGGGATATATAACGGTATATAGGGGTCTATAGGGCGTATATAGGGGATATATAACGGTATATAGGGTCTATTGAGCATATATAGGGGTCTATAGGACGTATATAGGGGTCTATAGGGGGTATATAGGGGTCTATAGGGCACATATAGGGGGTATACAGGTGCATATAGGGCGCATATATGGGTCTATAGGAGATATACAGGGATACCCAGAACTTATTTAAGGGTCTATAGGGGTATATAGGGGGTATAGAGAAGCCCCTATAAGGCCCCATAGCCCCCCTATAGTCCCCCCATAGCCCCCATACACCCCCCAGAGAGCCCCATAGCCCCTCTATAGCTCCCATAGCCCCCCCATAGGGCCCCATATCCCCACCATAGGTGTCATAGACCCCTATAGGGCCCATATCCCCCCTATAGCCCCCTATCCCCCCATATCCCCCCCTATAGGCCCCATATCCCCCCCATAACCCCCCTATACCCCCCCTATAGACCCCCATATCCCCCCCATTAACCCCCCTATACCCCCCATACCCCCCCATATCCCCACCATAGGCCCCCATATCCCGCCCCCATACCCTCATACCCCCCCTATCTCCCCCATATCCCCTCTACACCCCCCATATCCCCCTATAGGGCCCCATAGAGCCCCTTACCCCCCATATCCTCCCTATATCCCCTATACCCCCCGTATCCCCCATAGCCCCCCATAGGCCCCCATAGCCCCCCTATACCCCCCTATCACCCCATACCCCCCTATAGGGCCCCATATCCCCCCCATAGACCCCATAGCCCCCCATAGACCCCCATATCCCCCCTCTACCCCCCATATCCCCCTATAGGGCCCCATACCCCCCCATAGCCCCCCTATACCCCCCGTATCCCCCATAGGCCCCCATATCCCCCCCTATACCCCCTATAGGGCCCCATATCCCCCCTATACCCCCCATATCCCCCCCATATCCCCCTATAGGCCCCATATCCCCCCATACCCCCTCACCTCCAGCTCCACACTGATTGCTTCTCCCCGGCCTTTCCCCCCTCCATCTCCCGCCCGCATCCGGTTGCAGCAGGTTCCGGGCCGGGTGTTTCTAAAGTGAGGGATGGAAGACAACAAAAAAGGGGTTAAAAAAGAACCGAAACCGAAACCGGGACCGGAATCATCCCCCCCCCATCCATGCCCGGTTCCGGCGTCGTTACCGGATCCTCGCTGGATACGGAAACAACGCGGAGCAACGGGATCTCGGCCATCACCGCCGCACCGGAAGCGGCGACTGGCGGCGACCGGAAGTGCAGCGGCTTATATAGGCGTGGCGCTCTGCCCCTCTATGGCGGCAACTCTATGGTTGGGGGTATGAAGGGAATGGAGGGGGGGTTGCGCATGCGCAGTGGGAGGAGGGGAGACGCGCTGGGCAGGCGGTCCGCCGGGCTCTATGGTAAAAGGGAGGGGGGGGTTGCGGCGGGTTACTTGGCGCGCATGCGCGGTGGTTCTGGAGGGGTGAAAGGGGGTCTATGGGTCTCTATGGGTCACAATGGGTCTCTATGGGGCTCTATGGGTCCCTATGGGTCTCTATGGGGTCTCAATGGATCTCTATGGGTCTCTATGGGGCTCTATGGGGCTCTATGGGTCTCTATGGGTCTCTATGGGGTCTCTATGGGGCTCTATGGGGCTCTATGGGTATCTATGGGTCTCAATGGGATCTCTATAGGTCACAATGGGTCTCTATGGGGTCTCTATGGGTCACTATAGGGTTTCAATGGATCTCTATGGGTTTCTATGGGTCTCTGTGGGTCTCTATGGGGTATCTATGGGTCTCTATGGGGCTCTATGGGTATCTATGGGTCTCAATGGGATCTCTATAGGTCACAATGGGTCTCTATGGGGTCTCTATGGGTCACTATAGGGTTTCAATGGATCTCTATGGGGTTTCTATGGGGCTCTATGGGGCTCTATGGGTATCTGTGGGTCTCAATGGGATCTCTATGGGTCTCTATGGGTCTCTATGGGTCACTATGGGTCTCTGTGGGTCTCTATGGGGTCTCTATGGGTCACTATAGGGTCTCAGTTTATCTCTATGGGCTCTACGGGGTCCCTATGGGTCTCTATGGGGCTCTATGGGTCTCTATGGGGTCACAATGGGTCTCTATGGGTCTCTATGTGTCTCAATGGGTCTCTATAGGGTCTCAATGGGTCTCTATGGGTCACAATGGGTCTCTATGGGTCTCAATGGGTCTCTATGGGTCACAATGGGTTTCTATGGGTCTTTATGGGGTCACTGTGGGGCTCTATGGAGTCCCTAAGGGTTCTCTATGA